TGCCTCTAAAAATCCTCCTTCTTTGCACACTATTGTGCGGCACGATTGCATGGCATGTCACGTCTCATAGCTACGGGATAATCTTGGCCTTCCTCATCCTGTCAAAGACAGTTCCCCAAGTCTGCCTCGTATCCCTCTCCTCGGTGAATCCTGTTGAGTACATCTTGGTCATATCGAATTGACGATCAAAGTCGAACTTGGTCATGAGCATCGATTCGGCAATCTGAAGTCCACGACCACCGTCCACATGGCCATGTTGTAGCCCATACTTCTTCTCCATTGCCAGCCATGTCTCCATGTTGTCGTTGATGAACTTGCGCACATCAATGGGAGTGGCACCAGGCCCAGTGGCCTTGAGGCCAAAGTAGGAACACAGAATAGGCCATTTCTTCTCCCAGTTTGAAGGTGTCTTGGAGTCGGCGACGTTGTAGGCCTCTCCCTTCTTGGTGTTGGGGGAGAGTGTGAGGTGTATGGTTTGACGCGCAATCATGTCGCTGGAGCTATCGTTGCTCAGCGCTTTCCAGACTCCTTGGTTGCCAGGGAATGGGCATTCAGCACCCTCGCCATGGATCTCCTTGTAGAGGCTCAGATAGATACCCAAGGATGTACCCAGCGAGTAGAAGTTCTGATTGGGCACGTAGCCAATGATGAGATCGGGACGAGTCTCGATCCAGCTCCATTTCTTGTCTTTGGCGTAATTGGCGATCCAGTCGTTCTGTGCGTGGTAGAACAGCATCTCGGCGTACGGGCTGGGTATGCGGGGGTAGGATTCTTTGAGCGGCGGTGGAGGGAGTTTGGGCCCGGTGGTGCCCGGAGGAGCGACTTCATCGAACCACGGAAGTGCAGCGAGGAGATGGCAGCCATCTAATGTACGTTAGTCTTGGGTGTCCAACACCATCACAAGAATGGGATAGAACTTACAGATCTTCGAGCCGATTTGCAACACAACGTATTCCAAGTTCGGGCACAGCTTATCCATAGCTGTCACCGCTTTGGAAAACATTTCCACAGCCTCGTCCAACTCCTTTTGTACATCCATGCCCGCCTTGTACGCAAAGTAGTATACGTGCGTTACCTCCCCGATGTCCGGTATCTTCTCTACCAGCTCCTTGTTGAGACTCTCTTGGCTATGCGCGAGTAGGTCAATGCCAGAGACCAGGTTTAGGCGCGGGTCCTCTGGCCATTGCGTCTGGTTTGGGGCGAGGGGGCGATTGTTGAGTCCATGAACTCGCTTCCATATGTTCTTCTCGGGATAGTCGGAGAGGATTTCGTTGACGAAGGACCATCCTGCATGATCATTATCAGTATGAAGCTCATCTATAGTCTTTTGAGGGGTTTACTGACCGGTCACGCCGGATGCGCCAAACACGACAGCTGACTTTGACATTCTTCAAGACGTGCTAAGGATGAGCTTTGAGAAGAGTGAGGCCTCAAGGATAATGAAGCTTATAAGCAGGGCGAAGCGATAAGGCACCGGCACGGCGTGTGCCAAAAACTAGCCCTTGCAGAGACTACATGTTGTCTCTTTGCATGGGCGACCAGTATGGAAGGTGGGGTTGCGATTGGGATTGCGATAGTGGAGACATGAAGTCTAGATGAGTTCTCTCCTACGGGAGTTTTCCCATACTGCCCATGGGGTGTACTAAACGTCAGTAGTACGGACACTTGTGCGTAAGCTACCTACCGCGCGCATAACTTCAAACAGCCGCTCTACACTCTACAGATCGTCAGCGCTCTTCTGAAGATCCCGCGTCGCATCACGAGGAATTCAGAAGGAGGCCCGGTCGCCTCGGCGGGCCATCCGGTACCCATGAGTTGTGGGGTTGCCGCGAGGAGGGCCCGAGAATATAGCCGTTTTCGAGTCATCCCAACCTCTTTTGGACGCGTCGCCGATTCAGGGTATGCAAAATCTAGATTGAGGGGCCCGTTGAGTGTATGCGACATGTGCGCGGCGCGTCGACGTCTGATGAGGAGCTCATAGGACAATGTCGTGGTGGAGGAAGGAACGACGGGAAGACGTGACGAGACATTTTCGCAGGGTCCATGACGTCGGCGACGCGCCGGGCGAGAAGGTAAGCGTCCCCTGACACTCATCTTGCGCACCCAACACAACACGACCGCATCATCGATATGTCCAACAATATGCAAAAGATGGTATGAGGAGACTCAGATTATCAATTAAGCTACAGCATTCTATGTGCTCAGTGGAACTCGTTCTTGTCCGCGTACACGTCATTCTCGAGGAAGACCTCCACCTTGTCCGTCATCTTCGGTGTCAAATCCTCGCAATAGAAGATGCAGAGCAATCCTACGATACCAAAACTCAGGCTACTGAGTGCCACGATCTTTAGCGCGTGCGCATAGCTCCATTGGAACGCCAAAGAAGCCGCGCCTAGTGCCTCTGGACTTGTACCTGGCACTTCGGCGATGGCGGCTGCGCCTAGGGGCATAGCGGCAAGTAAAGCTTGCGCGTTCTCCAACGACATGCCCGCCTTCACAGCTGCAGCGGGAACCGTCGCAGCAGCGCGAGTGGTCTGGGTGTTGGTGAGGATAGTGGTATAGATGGCTTGAGCCAGCGATCCTCCTGCGTAACGAGCCATACCCGCCAAGCCACCTGAGAAACCGAGGTCTTGTTGTGGCACGCCAAGCTGCGTAAATGCGATGGACTCGTACTGTGCCCATCCGAAGAAAGAAGCGTTGATGCAGCAGAACGCGATCATCAAGTTCTGGTTGAACGGGGTGACAAGGCCCATCAAAGCACCGAAAAGCACCATGCCAGTCCAGGTACCGATCAACGTCCATTTCCAGTGTCCGATCACGTTGCCGAAAGCCATGAGGCATAGTGATCCGAAAACAAGGCCTACATTCGGCGGCAGTGTGAGCAGCAACTCGGTACTCCGCGACACGTTCGGGCCCAGGTAGAAGACATTAACCATTGTCGGCCAGATGATGTTGACCGAGTAGTAGAACATGGTGACGATGAACGCTACGATGAAAGGCGCCGTAAATTCCCTTCCTTTGTGGCTCCGGAATAGGTGTGGCGGGCAGAGTTTGAAGCGAGTGTTCGAGAGCGTCTCCCAGACTCCAAATGCAGCGATCAGGACGAACCCGACTACCATGGGTGCAATGACGGTTACGTCTGAGCTTGGTTTGTATGTGGTGTTGATGATGCCAACAAGCGCAAGGCAGATGCCTGGGACAATGAGTGCAGTGCCCACATAATCGAGGCCGCGGACTGCCTCGGACCATGGAACGCCCTTGGGGTGCTTCGGTGGCTTGTAGAGCAAGAAAAGAGATATAAAGGATATGGATTGAGCAATCAGACCAGCCCAGTATACCCACTGCCACGCATTGACGTCGATGGCGTACTGTGAACGATTGTCAGCTATTTCGCCCAGCAGGTCGAAGCACTGCACTCACTCTTCCAACAATAGGACCAATTATGACAATGAGGAAGACGAAGCCATCCGAAAGACAGATACCAATGTGCCGGAACTTGTTCGGTAGAAGTTCTGTAACAGTCAGACCTACTAGCATGTAAAACACAACGCAGCTCACTCACCAGGAATGCTACACATGGCCATCTGCGCAAATCCAGCTCCGAATCCGGTTATAGCCAGTCCAGCTGTGAAGTGGTCTGCTCCTTTCGCTGTCGCGGTCACGATGAAACCGACGCAACAACATGCATTACCAAACAACAAGAACCACCTCCTTCCAAACAGATCGGAGTTCGCGCCCGCAAGAAGGAAGCCAATCGCGTTGGCTGTTGTGTAAGCGGGTATGAACCACGCGCTCGCTGTCGGAGCACCGAATTGAGTGGCAAGTCGAGCCATCATCGCTGAGGTGGTAGGTACAGGCCAAAAAGAAAGACCGAAAGTCGAAGACAGGATGAAGATGACGAGCCATGTCTTTGGTGTTATAGTGGTTGTATCTGGGGTGACGAATGTCTGTGGTGGTGTCGCTGCAACGGTTTCGATTTGCTCAATGTCTCTCTTCTCGTCCGATGGCCGGCGCAGGCCGCTCTCGTGGATGGCTGTTACTGCCATGATGGTTTGGTGAAAGAAGCCGCCTGATGCAGGTGCGACTTTGTGTAACTGGGGTGAGAGATCGTCGCAGAGAGCCCACTCATGGCTTGCATATATCCTTCGCCGGGTCTTGTAGACATGCACAGGTCACATCCCATCAAGCCACTGGTCCGACACCTGGACTTTCCTCCAGCCCCGCATCTCGGATACACAGAAGCACAGCTAATTATGCCACTGGGTTGTTCTATTGGCTAGATTCCTCCATCATTTCAGCATTTTGTTGCACCTTCTGGAAATCCGGGGTAGTGGATGTGGATGTGGGTATCCGAGACTGACTGCGGAGAAGAATTGCGCCACATCATGGCGCTTGACTGGAAGTGATAGTGGGCGATCAAGGGGTGAGGATCGTCTTCACCTGGAACAACGTTTCCGTCGGTACTGAGTTATGCGTGAAAGCTTATTTCCGACATCCGGGCGTTCACCTCGAGATCGCAACCATGACCATCATTGCACGTGCGAGATACAGGGTGTACTGTGGACTTTGAGCTAGACGAGACCGACATGTGACACCACGATGCTGAAGTCCTGGAGTTGGCCAAGGGTTGGGCTAGTTTGGTTGAGCTGAATAGATTAGTTTGCAAACCGTAAATCTGCATCAAGGCATGGAAGAGACATGATGGACTGATTCAGTGTGGACGTTATCTAGTCGCAGAGAGACCATGTGTAAATAGATAGATATGGTAGTCTTCCGCTCTAATCCACTACAACGCCTAGTACGTTGCATCCCGGACTATGTCTACTTGGCGCCCAGACTACGCATCCGCTCTGCGCGTAATCCCATCCGTAGCATCGCAATCAGGAATCGCTTTTCCAAAGCAGATCATATCATGTCTAGACTCATTTCATCAGCAAACCAGTTCACACTAACCACCAACCTCGCCGACATTACCCGCCAAAACAGGAACAAAGAAAGACTCACCCAGCCATGACCTGGATTCCCTTCTCCAGATCCATAAACTTCTCCGCATCCGGCATCAGTGCAGCCCGGTACTCGTCGCTCCCGGCAAAAGCCTCCCAGTCTTCCCACTTCTTCACCCAGACTTGACTGCAAGCATCGTAGTCTAGTAGATCCATGCCCAAGCTCTGCAATTTACTTCTGAGCTCTGGTGATTGGTAGTGCTGTACGTAGCGTTGTATCTTGACTGCGTGGAACTTCTTGCATGCGACAGTGAGATCGGAGTGGATGTGGTTGTAATGCTTTTTGAAGAACTCATCGGTAACATCGGGGCGCTTGCGAAAGAAGAAGGAGAGCTTTATACAGGCTAGAAGAGAGCTTCAGTACATGATATATTCCAGTGACGAGGATGGACAGACGCTGGTAGTTCTCTTGTTTGTCCCATTCAAACTCGGGGTTTGCGAAATCATGCTGCTGAAGTGTTAGTCATGCATGTAGAACAAAAAGGGCGGAGAGCATACATCGATAGTCTTGTAGGTCATCTTAGCATGTAGTTGGTGATCGTGTAAGAAAGTCGAAGGCTCTTGGGTTGTCGGCTCCTAGAACCTAAAGTACCTGTGTATTCCACAAGTACAGCCACTAACAGTGACCCTGCATAACCGACCGAGGAAAACGGAGCAAGCCAAGTTCAGCGTGCGGGGTCTAGTATATAGCGGTACCCCCAGTGGCACGATCGAAGCAGGCTGCTTAATGTCATGTTGTACAATTGATCGCTGATCAGTGGTATGAGCGCCTCACAGTATGTAGGCATCGTGATGACGGTCCTCAGTTGATATCGTAGAATTAATGCTGGACTAGATAAATAACGTGTCTAGAATACAACAACCTGTCTCTTCTCCGCTTTACCAGCCTCCATATCAGCGACCATCTGCGGCAAATCATCAATCTTGCGGAACTCGACTTCTGGTTGTATGCTGCGGAAGGTCAGAAACTGTTTTCACATGTCAAAAGAAGTAACATACCTGTGCTTGCCAGTGAAATCCACAGCCTTCTTCATTCGCTGCGGAATACCCGTGCTGTCGGCCTTGATGCGGTACCGTCCTGTTGTTAAGTCGAAGGTGTTGATGAAGTCCAATCCTTTCGGTGCGATTCCAATGACCATGAGTAGTCCGCCTGTTCTCAAGACATCTGGAGCGCCTGCGTATGCTGCATTCGATGCGCTATAAACCGCCGCTGCGTGACATCCTTTGCCTCCTGTGAGCTTCTTGATCTCTTCGAGATAGTCCTTGTTCTTCACGGAGTTGAAGACAGCTTCCGCGCCAACCTTTTTCGCAACATCCAATTGGTTGTCGTTGATATCGAGACCGATGGTCTTGATACCCATCTGTCTACTGTCAGTCGCCATGCGTAGCGCAGCTTTCTGCCCAAACTTACGGCTTTTGCATATTGTATCGCATACTGTCCAAGACCGCCGCACCCGATAACCGCCAGCCAATCGCCCGCCTTCAACTCACAGCTGTCCACCGAATGAAATGCTGTGATACCTGCACAGAACAGCGGTGCAGTCTTACTCATATCGAGGTTTTCGGGTAGCTTGACTGCATTCTGCCAATCAACGACCGCGTACTCGGCGAAGTACCCATCCGACACAAAACCTTGTAGTTTCTGGTTACCCGTCTCGCATCGCATGTTGTGGATCATGCACCCTTCGCATTCGAAACACGCGCCGATGAAGTAGTTGAATCCGATAGCATCACCGACTTTGAAGCCTTTGTCGCTGGCTCCCGCTCCGATGGACTCAATGTAGCCGACTCCTTCGTGGCCTAAGGTAACGTTGTAATCGGGCCTCATGGCCATGAGCAGGTCTGAATGACATAATGACGCTGATTGTATCTTGACTAGAAACTGATTTGGTGCTTCGGTAGGTTTCGGTACGTCATTTACGACGACCTTTTGCTGCTTGCTGTATGTCTCATCAGTATCTCATACACAGTGATGACTACTCTGTACTTACGGATCCCACTGGCCGGCCTTCATGATCACGAATCTTTCCTGGTATCTCTTGTGTGGCTTTCGGTATAGCTTGAGGACTATGTTGGATCCCAAGAAGAGTATAAATACCTACTCTGCGCTTCGCATGCTTTCTAGCTATGTATGCAACGGGTTGTGAGGCGCGCCAGAACAGGAAAGACTGCAGGGGTTGTGCTGCGAGTCATGCCGGCACCATGAGGGCACCGTTGCTGACTTGGCCTAGCTAAGCCGTTCATACGGAAAAAGGTGGCCGACATGGCGCGCTGGCTGAGAACGTTTGGCTAGAGGTGAAGCTTGGGAGTTGCTGGGTGCGTGGCGCGCGGGGAAGGAAGAAGCGGGGTCCAAATGTCTAGCTCGACTTCTTTCGCGCGACGCTGTCTTTCTAGCTGATAGGCAGACTCCACGGGCAAGAAGAAGAGATTGCACTGTGTATGCTAGCCCTGGAGAGTAACCTTGAAATGGTGCGGCGCGTGGGCAAAAAGAGGGCACAGTCAAAACATTTATTAGCAAAGGGACAAACATACCAACAACACCAAGAATTATAGTAAGTGCCATATTTTATTAAAGAACTTTAATATTAAGCTGTATTTACGATACTTTGAGGTCTAATAATACGTTCTTACGGTAGGGTATTACAGTGTAGGTGAAGTTTCAACGGAGTCTTCCCAAAAGCCGGCTACTTGCGTGTATGGACATTGGCCTGAGGAAACCACTTTCCGTTCATGTAGAGCACTCTAGTATCGCCCTTCTCTGTCGTTAGTTGATACTCTATCTTTGAGTTTGTGGTCCTGCAGCTAAACGCGATATAAAGCCTCATTTTCTTTTGCTTATTATTGATTGTTTCTGTAATGTGAACTGCGTCCCCGGGAACGTATTTCGCGACGCCTGCCTCGGGAAACTCTGGCAGCTGTTTGATACGCGAAACTGTCTGTGTATCGACATCAGCAATGTTTGTGAGAAGAAGCGACTCCCCCTTCTTATCAGGCTCGGCTTGTAGCTCTGTCTCGTTTTCTCCAATTCGCAATCCCCGTAGTTTCATGGACTCGGTGTAATTTTCCGTTGCATGATGCGCTATCGCGGCTGGGACAGCGTGCGGAGATCGGTGCTGCATCATCTCTTCATACACTGGAGGCATGCGAGCTTGTCTAACCTCGTGCGGTGGCCTCGGTATTCCTCGAAGAACGAACGATTCCATGGCTGATGCTTCAAGACAGAAGCTCAAATCTCCCAGTCCTTCTAGGGATGTCGAGATCTCATCCACAATGGTGAAGTAGGATGTGTTGTCGACGCCCAGATAGTCATCTTCTCCAACGTAGGACTTTGCGACTTCTAGTAGCCGTATGGTTTCTGGGTATGTTCTCCGATCAAGTGTTTCTGGGTTTGACTCAAGAAGAAGAAGACCTGATTTGGGTCAGCCAACAAAAGGTATTGCACTAATCGCTCATAAGTCAAGATGTTTACCATGGTAAAGTGCATCGCACAACTGCAACAACACAAGAATGACATCTTGTCGGAGATCTTTTATAACTGCCAGTGTTTTGTCCAGTGCACCACTGCTTACGTCGAACTCTTGACCCCATAGGTAGAATTGGATGAATGCTCTTTGTAAGGTTGCTGTTTGTGACGAAATGGTAAGATTCAGATCGGAGTCCTTGAGTCCCAACAGCTGAAGCGGGTGTTCAGAAGGTTCATCGCCAAAGACTACTGCTGTTGCATGATCCCCCGCTACTGTCTCGCTGTTTTGCGGGTGCTGGGCAGCATGCACCAGTCGAAGAAAAGCTTGGAAGTTCTTCAGAATCGTATCGTGCAATGAAAGAAGTATGCCTCGTTCCTGGCGATTGGACTCGTCAAGCTCTGCGTGTTGCGCAGCGGCCAACGCTGATGGATCACGACCTCGCACCCCGCTGGATTCCGTTGTAGATTCTCCGAAAGAGTCGGCGTGTGGATCCACGTTCATGATTGCAGTAACAATTGGCGCGATTTCGGGAAGAGTGCCCAGGTGGATATTCGTTTGTAGGTAATGAATGCTTTAACACACACGATGCCTTCGCGCGACAAACGTCGCCAAAAGTATTTGTGGACTGTTCCAGACTCTGCAAGCGCCTTCACCGGACGTGGCGTGATGGTGGGGGCGAAGCGTCGAAGTTGAGGGGCTGTGCAATGCGCAGCTGCCTATTCGATACAATGGCTGCTTCTTATCTGACTGCACACCCCGATGCCAACTGAACTTGAACGCCGTGCACTCTACGACATAGTCAAATTTGAGAGAGACCCCAATTGCCCAAAAGCTGAATCTAAGAGCTAGAGATCCAACCAAGATTTGCCCAAATTTGCGATGAGCGGACTGGAACTTACGGGTGTTGCACTCGGCGCTGTTCCAATACTCATAGGCGCAGCTAAAGCTTATCAGTCGCTGCACAAACGTCTGTACACTCTGCGTCATTGCCATGAAGTCGCGCGGCGACTTTGGTTGAAGTATCACGTCATTCAAGCCCGACTCCGAACCACATTTCGGCTCTTTCTTACCCCCGTCATTCAGGACGATGACCCATGGGGTTACATACAGACCAATGGCCTATCCACGGAGCAACAGGAGGAGATTGCGACATACATCGGTACAATGCTGGGCGCAAAATCAGCGTCTATGTTTGCTGAAATCTTCAACGAAATCTCTGCATTGCTCAACCGAGCAAGCGAGTCACTGATCCGTGTTGAATCGTTAGCATCTGCCAGCGCAATGGTGAGCTGTGGGTTTACTTTGCTGGAGACCTGACTCTGACTCTTTTTTTTTAGCCCAGGTCGTCAATGCTGAAAGGGAAATCTATCAAGAATGCCGTAGATCTGACGGTACACGAGTCGGAGTATGAAGCGCAGCTAAAAGAATTAAGGGACTGGGTTGGTGAGATTTCGCATCTGCTGTCCACAGGACTTGCCATTCCAGCAAAAGGCCAGGCCAAGAAAGCGAAAGGACTTCTTCCGCTCCCCCCGCGGGTAAACGCAATCAATCTGGCATCAAAACAGCTCGCAGGAGGCCTTGAGCAAGCCTGGACCTGCTCAAACACAAGCCATGGCAGCCATTCTGCTATGATGCGAGTCGACGCGCAGATGGACATGAAAGACGCTGTTCATATGGACGTTGCTATCAGGTGCCATGCTTCAGGGTCGCTTATATCAACCAAGTATGTCTCGAAGCTTAATGATCTAGACTCGTGCTGACCAGTACAGATCCCAAGATCAGTATGTCTGGCTCCATGTCAAGAGTGTAGCGCCAATCTGTTCAGAGCACATGCGAAACAGAAGGATGAAACAGTCTGTGGCTACTGTGGATGATAGTACGCATATGGTGCGACCAGATTCAACGACCACGCAAGATCTCGTAGAGGAACACGATATCGAATCTCACCAGGAGCTTGAAGGTCTTTCTAGCGTATGCTGCCATCTCTGCGATGACAACTACTCCAGACCGATGCAGGAATCCCGGTGCTGTCGTAACTACATGGGAACTGTCCGTGGCTATCTTAGTACATCTGCAGCTTACGAACATGCTGTTTACTACAGTAGACCAAAGAGCGGTCTGGACCAGAGTCTACCAGCCCAAGCTTTGAGCAGTCGTCCCGTGAGCGAGTGCCTGGAAGACATGACAATGAAACAGCAACTACAGACAGCTTATGGTTTGACCATGGGTGTTCTCCAGTATAACCGCACGTCATGGCTCCGAGAAGAATGGTCCTTGAGCGATGTGCTTCATGTTGGCACATCGTCCTTCGAGAATAGCACACTGCATCTAGCGAAACGACTGCCAGCAAAAAAGATTGCTTCGCGCGGTCAGGCAGGGACCGACCCTACTGCAACAACATCTCGCAGTCAGGAGCTCCAGATGCTCCTGGGCATTCGCAACGCCCCTCTCGCAAGCCTTGGGCACGCACTACTCGAGCTTGCACATCGTAAGTCCCTCAAAGACTTGCGACAGTCTGGCGACCCCTGTAATGCTGTCGCTGCTCGAAGGCTCCTCAATGGAGTATACATACCATTCGGTGATCGCTATCGACGCGTGGTGCGGAAGTGTCTCGAAGCAGACTTTGTCGTGGAATGCACAGACCTTGCGGATGGAAGACTGCAGACCGCTGTATATAATGATGTGGCATTAGAGTTGGATAGTCTAGCGAAGGAAATCGAGAGCGTTCTCTCGCATATCCCAGGATGAGGATGAATGAATTCATCCTAGATAGCTTCAACATCAAGAACCCCGACGTCACACCTAATATGAATAGCGGTCTTGTGCATGTCTTTCAGCGCCAGGATATGCCAGATTTGACAGCGAATTTGCTAGTGGTTCACAGGATAAGGGGTCTCTAGTAGATTGTGTTGTCCAGATTTATTTAGGAAACAGGATACGGGGGATACGGGAGGCTCACAGGTACGTTTACGTTCCAGGCTAGACGTTCGTAGATTAGACCATCGGGCTCTACAAGAGTTCATAGCGCACTTGCAGAGCAGACGGAAAACACTCATCACGCACGAAAACCAAAAGTCCAGGCAGACGTCGAGTACGACGGTCATTCTTTTTCATAGTGCCTTCATCGATCTACACCTATTTACTGCTGACACTACGTCTACTCCGCTACATCTTCCGTCCTTCTTACTCTTAAACGTAGTGATACTTGATCGTGATGCGGGGAACGCACATAGCCTTGTATGACATGGGAGCAGTGAAGGGAGCAACGTAAACTGGAGATGTAGGCTGAGTGGGAAGAGCGGCGACACTGGAGGAAGCAGCAACGCCAGGGTAACCAGCAGCGCCAGAGTAAGCGGCAGCACCAGAGGGAGCAGCAGCGCCCGAGGAAGCAGCAACGCCGGAAGCAGCAGCGCCGGAGGAAGCAGCAGAGCCAGAAGCAGCAGCGCCAGAGGAAGCAGCAGCGCTCGAAGAAGCAGCAGCGCTCGAAGATGTAACAGCGCTCGAAGATGCAACAGCGGCAACGCGAACAGACGAGGCGACGGCAGAAGAAGAAGCGCTGGGCGTAGGTGTGGGGGCGGCACATAGAGGGGCGGCGGCATTGAGCTTTCCAACGGCCCAGTTCGAGGCGTCTTCGGTGTACTTCTCAAAGTAGCTCAGGTGCTTCTCGACGTCGTCGCCGTTGGCGCAGATCGGGTCTCCCTTAGAGCAGTAAGAGCGCAGAACGGAGGAGAAGCGGTTGAGGCGCGCAAGAGAGGTGGCGTCGCGACCGTTCTTCTGTAGATCAGAGCCGTCAAGAACGTTGTATGGCATGTTAGCCTCGTGCTTGACATCGCCCCAGAGGAGAGCAGCAGCGACTAAATTACCACATTAGCACAGTCCAAGGTTCGAGTGTGTCATGTCAAGGATACTTACTAGCGTTACCAGGAGCCGCGGCAGGGTCGAGACCAGTGGTGATCTGCGAGCATCCACCAGGTCCAGCAAGGACATCTCCCATGATCCAGGCACCCTGAGAGAAGCCATTGAGGATGAGGTGCGTGCACGGGCACTTCTTGTTGAAAGCAGTGATCTGGTCAAGACCGTTGCGGACTCCCTCGCCAATTTGTTTGCAGTAGTCGCCGCCGTACGGGAACACGACCTCAATGTAGTCGCAGGTCTTGCCCTCAGCCCTTAGCTTGGCGCACGTAGCGTCGGCGAAGGGGAATGTACGGTAGTCATGGTACGGCGCAGTGTTACCGCGGGCCATGAAGATAACGGCATCGGCGCAGGGGGCGTCGAGCTTTGGGGGTGGGGAGTTGGGGTCTTGAGCGACGGCGACGGCGGCGGCAGCGCTGAGCGCGAGAACGGTGCGGATGATCGAAGACATTATTAAATATTAAAAGAGTGTGGTATTAATTGGTTGTTTCAAAAACGAGTGTAATGGTTATATTGCGAGGTTGGAAGACCTGTGAGAAGAAAGAAAGTCCTCTTGGCTTCGGGGGAAACAGTTTAATAGGAGCGTTCATCTTGCATTTCTGCCGAACTGGGCGTCGTGTCGGCTCGAACGGGCGGAAAAGGGATACGAGTTGGATCCCTTTTTGGCTGAGCTATCTACCTCGGGTCGTGCGCTAGCAGGAGCGCGGACAAACGTCGTATTATCGAGATTGATGCTGACCATGAGGTTTTGGAGGATGGCCCAGAGGACGGAAGTCCCCTTGATGGATACCTAGGTACCGTCAAATTCTGCCATCTTTGCGATATGGGTCACCGGGACATCTGAGACGTTGCTGTTGCTGTTTGCATTGAAGCTAACCTTTAGTTCATGGGATCAAGCAGGGTCCAAGAAATTTGCTAGCGTGCGTGTCAATGCTTGAGCGATCCTCCATATACGAACCCCTGAGCTTGTCTAAGATAAGACTCAGTGCACGTCTCCTCGACTAACCCGAGATGTCTTAGCTCTTGTCGGAATCCGTGGACTCTTCGAGAGCTGCCGTGCCACTTGCCACATTCGACAATCTAGATGCACTTCGCTTGTTGGATGCAGTCAAGTTTCACAACTCCACTTGTGCCAGTCTGGCGCTACGTCCATCGCAGCGAGGAAGAAATCAAAACATTGTGTATTGCGAGTGACTACAAAACTTCAACCCAGTTGAGATGGGCAAAGAGAGCCTGGACATACCAAGAGCATATACTGAGCAGACGCGTTGTTTTCTTCCTCGATGAATGGGTTTTCTGGCAGTGTGAGTGCGCTGTCTAGGATTTGGATGTCTTCCAACCACGGAAGAGCCCCAGATCTGCCGTTGTGGCCCCACATGTGCAACTATGTCGAGTATCCTTCAACGAAATCCTACGTCCACTTCGGTAGGGTTCAGTTTTATGCAGACTTGATATGCCCTCACAACGGTCGGGAAATTTCTCATTAAGAACACGATTTATCCGCTTGCACGGGTGTCTTATGCCGCCTTTCTCCGGTATTTCCAGACGGATTTTTGTTCGGTTCGCCACGACAATACCAAGATTATGTA